GGCATTGGTGTTGACATCATCACTCGCTGGTCGTCAAGTTGTCTGGTTGCTTTCATACTGTAGTTGTAGTGATAGGCTATAGAGTAGGTAGGGCGCCTGGCGCCATTCAAGAGAGAGAGCTACATTGGGTTATGCTGTTGGTGTTGCCCTGTTGGGCTTGGACATTGACTCACGATTCTTCTGTATAGTTCTCAAATGGATGGTTACTCGGTTCCATTGTGCTATCTGCTCTTGCTTTGACTACTTGGACTTCGATGTGATTTTGCAATCTGGATTTCTGTGCTTCGTCCATATTCATGTTCCTTGCACAAAACTGTTGCATACTAGTGAATACTTCAACAAGTATGAGCAGAACCAAAGATCAACCAATATAACATGAGCACGTATGCAGCGGAAGTCTGATAAATGGACTGACTCACATAGACTGAACTCATACAGATATCACTCAACACACAAACAATCGTGAGATGGTGGGGTCTGAGCCAATAATAGATGATGCTCAGGCCCCGTACAACCATGCACAGATGAAAGGTGGGAGGAGAAACGAAAGGAGGTGGGAGATGTAGGCAGCGCCAGATGTCACCGAGATAGAATCCAGTAGGTCACCGATATGGTAGTCCAAAATGTCATCGAACAAGATCAAAATGTCGTGGACAATAAGTCACCAATGTCGGAGGTACAGAGTCCTAATGTAACCAGTGTCCAATCTGTGATGCCACCGAGTATCAATCCCAAAAATCTCCAAGTCTCGAATCCGGTAAGTATCTCAGCCTCTTACCACCGAAGTCCAACACTGATCTCTGTCCAACTCGTATCAAGTCTCCAATCTGAAGGAGAAGAAGAGGAAGTCTGAAGAAGAAGAAGAGGAAGTCTGAGGAAGAAGAAGAGAAGTCTGAAGAAGAAGAAGAAAATGGAGATGAAGAAGAGGAAGATGGAGACGGAGAGGAGAGGTAGAGGTGGGAAGCGGATGAGGGCCTCAGACCAAACCTGCAGGTAACAAGCTGGCGCCTTCGCATGTGGGGGGAGATCTGCTGCAGGTCGCGGGAGCTATGGCGCCCACGGTCGCAGGTTAGTCCCCTCGCTCCTCCTCGCTCCTCCTGAACTGCAGTGCGCTAAACCAGCGCTGCCGTTCCTGGTGCTGCGCTAAACTGAAATAGCGCAGCGCTGCCTCTCGCTGGTCCCTCGTTCCAACCTGGGAGAATGGCCGCTGGACCGGCCTAAGTACCGTCCGGCGGCCGGTCGGCGTCTATGCTGGCCTCCTGCGCCGTGGGCTGAACCGTCGAAATGTCCGTTCAGCCCAGACCGGCGGGCGGCAGCCTCAAGAGTGCCGCCAGGGCAAACCTGGGTTTGCTGGCGCTGGGGTCCAACCGGTGGCCTAATAGGGCCTACCGGGAGAAAAAGGCGTGGCATTTGATGAGGCCGGCCTGGGTACCCCTGAACCGGTGTGTCGGGCCTGTGGAGGCCCGTGTGAAGTCGCAGACTGTAACAAGAAGTATGCGACCCTCTCAGCACGGTTGTATCGATGGGACGCTGGACCCGGTTTCCAGCAGGGGCTGCTTCTCTTACTATGTTGATTACTGCAGGTGCCAATGAGGTTACCGGGATGGCTGGACCTCGGGGTTGGAGGGGGACCTCACTGGTGCCCCCCGGTGGCTCTCCCCCCATCACCAGACCAGGCCTTAGGTTAGCTAGGGTAGAGAAGATTGGATGGGACGCTGGACCCGGTTTCCAGCCCAGTGGCGCCATGGCCTAAGATGTTATTCTAAAAAAAACCTGCGCAGTCAATCCCCTGTGACCCAGGGCAATCAATGCTGGCAGGGCCCAAAGAGTTCCAATCGACTCAAGGATGTATTTATGGGACGCTGGACCCCGTTTCCAGCAGGTGATGCTCCCCACCAATAGATGGAGCGGCTCACTAGGCAAAGCCTCAATCCCGGTGGTTCTCTTACCACCACTGGGATAGAGGCCTTGCACAAGGGCCTTTTAAAAAAAAAAGAAAAAAAAAAAAGAAGAAGAAGAAGTACCGGCAGGGGTTGTCTGAATAATGTGAAAGGGCCCTGTGCTCTCTCTCTCTCTCTCTCTCTCTCTCTCTCTCTCTCTCTCTCCAGCGTGTATACTCACATCACGTTGTTTTTTTTCTTTTTTTTTTGTTGCGCAGGCACCTGGGATTGGCGCACTGCGCACCGTGCAGCGCACTTCGCCTACGCGCCGCAAGTATGATCCAAATCCTTTGTTTTCTTTTTTCTCCTGTTTAGTTTCTGTCCCTGCCAGGGTAGCCCGGGCCGGTTCCTCTCCTTCTTTTTCGGAAAAATTGCATCTATATGGGAATACCGGCCATACCCAGTCCCAGCGCCAACTTGCATCGATACCCAGAGGCTGTCCAACTTTGCATAGTGCCCACCTTCTCCCCTGTGCAAAATTGTAGGTGTACCCAATCCCGCAGCCCTGGATTCGGAGCACCAAATTATGCTCATGCCCACCAAGTAGACTGTTGTGGCCCAACAGGTGTTGAGTATGAGCATAATTTCAGCCATCCAGTAGCATGGTATATGAACAATTTGGCCGCGCCTCCCCAGGTCCCAGGTATGCCCATAATTTGGCCTGGGTATGTCCATAATTTGTGCATTTGGGTAGTTGGTTATAACTGCAATTTTCAGGTACCAACCTGGGTCCACCGCGGTCCTGGGCATGCAAACAATTTCCACCAGCCATTTTCTGGGTGTAGACGCAAGTTGATGCTGGGACTGGGTATAGCCGGTATTCCCATCTTTAAGTTGGGGTACAGATGCAATTTTCCTTTCTTTTTTTTTCCCAATTTCGATAGATTTTTGGGCCCAACAGCCTTTTCCCTAAGAACCTAAGCCTTGCCTGATCACTTAGATTTTGCTGCGGGACTTGGTCCGAGAAAAATCTACAGTGACAGGGCACTTGGAGTGGTGGTTTACGGGGATGCATGTTGCCCCTCCCCCGAATCTGCTATACACGATTTCCGAAAGCCTTAGGGGATTGGAAAAAAAATCACCTTGATGCAATGTGTACACGTTCTCCAACCGGCGTCATCGCGATGATATATGTCACAGAATTCCCCATTTTCAAACGCCAACCTGAAGACGAAAAAAAAAGGAAAAAAAAAAAACAAAGCAAGCAAACAAGTTGGGAGCAACACAAACAGTCCATCAATAAGTACCGTCAATTATAAGGCTATACTTAATAGAGGACAGCAGACCTCTTTAGGCACCTGGTCCGCCTTCTGAAAAAGGGGGAAGAACTGGGAATGAAAAGCAAGTGAAACATGATCAAGAGACAACAATGATGAAGAGGAGGAAGAGGAGGAGGAGGAGAATAACTTTCAGTCAAATCCACACAAAACCGGAGAGAGGATATGC